AAAAAAGGCAAAAAAAAAAAAAAAAAAGGGAAAAAAAGAAAAGGAAAATTGGCTACAAACCAAAGGGATGGGTATAATGACTATGCTAGTTTCATGGGGCGAGTCATCATCGTCACGAACTCATCCATGTCAATCATACCGTCCCCATTAGCATCCACACCACGAATCATTCGGCGGCAGGTCTCCAGGCTGCACCTCTCTCCCATCTTCTTCATCACCTCCATCAACTCCTCCGCACTTATTTTCCCATTCCCATCCAAGTCATACATCTGAAATGCACTCTGGATTTCATTCGTAACATTCCCCTCATCCCCCGTGTTCCGCATCATCTCCGTAAACTCCTGGAAGTCGATGAATCCATCTCCGTCTGCATCGATCGCCCTAAACGCCTGAAGCATTTCTGCATCCGAAGTTCCTTTGCCAAGAAGTCTAACGGCTGCCTTGTACTCCTCCTTTGAGACCCTTCCGTCTCTGTTTGTGTCAAATTTGTCGAACACAAACTTCATCTCCTCCATGTTTCGCACGGGACCCTTCGAAGACACCGTAGATTTCTGTCTTTCCTTGGAGAAGCTCAATTGGGTTGGTAGTTTCTTTGAGGAAGACTTCTTTGAAAATCCATACTTCATGTTTAGAAAACTTATTTTCGACATATTTTTGGTTTTGCTAGCTATATGAATATTGAACAATTGCTCTTATATATACACCTGAAAAGTTCAATTTACTCCTTGTTTTTCTCAATGTATTTTTTTTTTTTTTAAAGAAAGATAATAATTAGAGATTAATATATTAAAGATGTTAGTGGGAGTATTGAACTTAAAATTTAAAGGTACAAATCACGACCTACCTTTTAAAACAGTATATAATCACCAGACCACCACACGTGAAAAGTTATTTTTCTCAATGTTCTTATTCATATTCTTATTTACAACTTGAGATTCTACGCGGAATTTAAGAATACGGGCTTGGGTAGGAAAGAAGTGGACGAAGCGGAAAGAAAGAGAATAAAGTTACACACGTGATGCTTGATTTGCCGTATCGTCCATATATTCTACCCTTTCGTTCTTCGGTGTTGATATTCCCTCCTTATCTCCATAAAGTTAAAAGAAATGCGTGCGTTAGGTTAATTCTCATTTGGGGTGGCGTAATACATTGAATAATTTTTGGATTTTTTGTAATTATTATTATTAAAAGGTTAAAATTTAATTATGAGTGAATATAATTTTAAATTTAAGAGATTCTAATTAAATCAAATTAAATTAATTTAAAGATTCAATTTGGGATTAATGTCTTTTAATTTAAAATTTATTATTTCTCTAAAAACAAATTCAAGCAGACATAAAATCGATCTGTTACTAAATTCTATTCTTCTTTTTCAAAATAAATTTGCTTTTATGTAATAAACACATTTTCTTTGATCCAACTGTCTTCTTCTTTTATAATTCAATTATAAGTGTGATACCCCAAAAATTCCTAGGATAAATAAGTGAGTTAGGGACTTGTTTGAGAAAGAAAGATTGTTTTGGGGCCTAATGTGAATATTTCAAAAGTGAGGGGCTAAAAAGGGAAAAGATTTGGATAAGGATCAATTATTTCTTTTTCCTTCTTTCTTCTTCCCAGCCTTGCCCGATTCTGCTCTTCCTCTTCTTTCTTCCCGCTGCAGCCACCCGAAAGAAGAAAAAAAAAAGGGAAACCCAACCATGCCTTGGAAAACCAGTAAGAGAGTTGGGTTTTGGCCTTTCTTTCTGTTGAGGTTTTAATGGTCCAATGCCTAGAATCAAACCAATCAGCAACACAATCAAACACCCAAGAATAGAATAAGCAAACAAAGTAAAATAAAGAGGACACCAGAATTTTTACGTGGAAAACCCAAATGGGAAAAACCACGGGGCACTTACCCAGATGAAAAATCAATCCACTATTAAAAATGGATTACAATTTTCGGATCATAATCCGAATATCTCAAAGTTCTAACACCAACAAGGGAGATTTTCTCTCAACCTC